CAATCTGAATGCAATCTTTTTCAAGAGTTGAGCCACATGGCTAGAAATGTCATCATGATTTTAGAATTCAAATATTTGTCTTCAAAATTCCAGGGACACTATAAATGATTGATGATCATAATTTTCTTAAATCTCAATCAGTTCCTGAAAATGAGCCATATTGATAGGCCTGAAGTGTGATTATTTAGACACACCCTAGGGGATGTACTCCTTAGGAAAAGAGATAATGCCTGTGACTCATTCCTGAAGGAGTGACTCCATTATCACCAAAATTCTTCAAAAGTTGTGATTCCATTTAACTCAGCAAAAGTCAGTCCAGACTGAAGGTTCCATCTGCATAATCTGTTCAAATTTTGACATTTTCTTGAATCTATTATTTTCCTTCTGTGCAGTTTTAAGTTCAGCATATTAAAAAGTCACGTAACTAAATAACATCAATAAAAAGGTCCCATCTTGTAAATCACTTATTGTCCCACTACCCGTGTCTGTCAGAATCTTTTAACGCCCCAAAGTTGTTCATCTGAGGACGCAGCTTAGAAAATCTTTCTACTCTACTTCAATTTCTTCTAAATATTGCATAAAACGGAGATGATGAAAGGCTCATGAGTGAAGGAAAAAAGGAAGCCTTGTTTCCTTCACCCTGGATTCGTTTTACAAAGTTCACAGTAAAAGTTTCACTGATATCTGCCAGCCAATTACATACAAGGTAATGAGGTATTTATGGGCAACAAAAATGGCACTGCCTGTGAATCTGTAACTGTTTTAAAATAAAAAGTTACAAAATGGGTCACCTTTCCCAGGAGGAGAGTAGGTATGGCACTCCTAGTGACTTGATGAGTTCTTCAGTCCAAGGATCTCTAATACTATGTGGAAAAAAATTAAAAAAAATAAACAACCAGAAGAGCCCTTCAATTCATTTTCCTCTCTTGTTTACCCTCACTGCCCTCAAAGCTTTATCCTCATTAATGACATGATGAGACAAATGGATACTGTTTCTGGAAAAGTCCAGGATTTTCAGTATAGTAAAAAGTTGGTTCAATTATCATTTTCTGTTTTCTGGCACTTCAATACATCTATAATAGAGAGTCACTGGTGTTTATCAGGACATTTAGAAACTGTAAGATCTTTTAATGCTTTCTGAATGTCCAGAGAAAAGTTATGTTGAACAGGATCTCAATGTTGAAGTTTGGTTTAACTCAAATTTTCTCATATACTGAAATTCTAAAATCTAGCATGGATACTAGTATACTGTCCTAAATTTAATAACTATTGATTTTTGCCATATTTTTTTTTCTCTCTCTCTCCCTATATGTGCACACACATACACACACTCACACTTTTCTTTCATTGTGAACTATCTGAACATAAGTTGCAGACATTAATGATGTTGGTCGATATGTATTTTAATGTATTCTAATTCTAGAAATTGTAGTTGTCTATAGATAAAGAACATGGTATTATATCCACATATAAAATATATGGTAATTTAAAATATTTTTATTATAATTACATGTTAAGTTCCCACAAGGATATTTTATTAGCCAAAATACCCAACTGTCTGAACATAACAAGCTACTTTATGTTTATTATCAGTATTAATTCTGTCCTGTACTTGACAACCAATGGAATGTGGATTTCTCCATAAGAGTAGATGCTTTAGTCTATCTTCCTATGGATAAATTAGAGTCTTTGTCTATCACTCAGACATATGAGTGCTTAATGGATTGTTAATGACAATCAGGGTGTTTTATAGGGGGAATAAGTCCCTTACTGCCAATGTAAACTAAATCCTTCCTAAAATATTAAGCTATGAGAAAGGAACATAATATTGCCACAAAATAAATTTTGGGTAAACTGTCCTGAAACAGCTTTTAAACAGATCCTGGGGAAGAGGATTATTGTTATCAAATAATTAACTTGTGGAAGAGATAGGGAAATTTTCTTGGACTTAAAAACATTTATATGAATCTAATCACCTATAAAATGGATAGGTTTTCTTATGTTTATTAGTTTCTTGAATGTGATAAAAGTTTTATTCAACTTCAGATAGATTATTGAGTGGAATATTTTGAAATTCACCTTAGAGGTCCTCTTTTATTGATAGGATTTTGGATGGAATTGTGTTCCCCCCTCCAAAATATGTTGAAGTACTAACCCCCTAGTCCTTAAAAATGTGACTTTATCTGGGAATTAGTTGTTGTAAATATAGGTAGTTAATTTAAGATGAGGTCATACTGGAGTAGGGTGGGCCCCTAATCCAATAGAACTGGTGTCCTTATATGAAGAGGGAAATGTGAACACAGACATGCAGAGAGGGAACATGATATGAAGACATGCAGGGAGAAGACTGCCATGTGACAATGAAGATAGAGATTAGAGTGATGCAATGACAAGTCAAGGAACATCAAGCATTGCTGATGGTCACCAGAAGCTAGGAGAGAGGCATGGAACAAATTCTCCATCAGTGCCCTCAGAAGGAATCAACCTTGCCGTCCCATCCCCTTGATTTCAGACTTCTAGACTTCAAAACTGTAAAAGAATAAATTTTAATTGTTCTAAGCCATCCAGTTTATGGTAGTTTATTACATCAGCCCTATGAAATTCTTACAGATAGTTGATAGATGATAGACAGACAAACAGATGTAGACAGATAATCTTTCAAACCTCTTAAGTTTGGGTCTAATCATAAAATGAGGACCCAAGGAATTATCCCATGAAGTGGTATAGTAGCCCCAAAGTTGTTAGTTGAACCACATAAAATTGTCATTTTTTATAGGTCAAGAATAGTTTAATAGATGAAGTTTTATGTGGCTCAATCTAATAAATAGATTACACAGATCATTCAAGTTTTCTGAAGCTCACTTTCCCCGTCAAGAGCAGATATTTAACTGAATTTGCTAGAAGAATACTTTGTTTCCCCTACATCACTTTTCCTCCATAAATAGATTCTTAGTCTTAAAATAAGATCATAGGCTTCATTCATTTCATTTGGATAAGGAAGTTCTGTCTTCATGATCTATATAGAATTAAACACTGGAGGCAATTTCTCTTTGAGGTTTTGCCTGCTATTCCTCTTGTTTATACATCTCTGGGCATGGTTGATTCTAGGAGACAATGCTGGGAATTTCATCTATGTTAAAAACTGAGGTTTCTCCAGGGGATTTCTCTCATTCCATTTGGTACAACAGTAACTGTGTTTGACAACATCTGCCTTACTGCATCGTTCTGCAGTTCCATCTGACACTTGGTTCCCGTCCACATTTTCTTCGTGCCTGTCTTCTGAACAAGATGTTTCCACAACAGAGGTGGAGGAGAGAAGACAGGGAGGGCAAATCAGAGCTTTACTTTCTCAATGAATAAAAGTCATGAACCCACCAAGTGTCTTCACTTCTCTCTTATTCCAATTCATTCAAAAGATTTTTGACATAAACAAATATTCTCTAAACCAGCCCCTTGTCCTTTGGGATTCTGAGCATTCACAAGTCATTTCTGAATACTCATTTTCCTAGATGTTTATATAGCTAGTGCCTTTCAAAGTTTCCTCAACTATGAAAATAAAATAACCACACACAAATTTTACTGACAATTTTTTAACCAGCAAGAAATGATACAACCAAGTCCAAAAACATCTCTTGTGTCACTACTGCTAAAGCATGCCAATATATTTTCATGAAAAGCAGATGTTTAACAGGAAATTCTGTTTCATGAAATCTTAATAATCCTTAGTTCAAATACATTTTATGACTATAAGAAATTGATTTAAGAGAAAACTCCAAAGCTTATCAATCAAAAGCTGCCTCTACATTCTGGAATCATTGGCTACACCAAATAGGAAATCCAGAATAAAGACCTTATTAGGAGCAATTGCCATTTAAACTATTACCTTCTTCAGTTATACTGTTCTTGCTGCTTGAGTGGCGTTAAATTCTAACAGATTGTTTGAAAATGTCATTCTACTTCTACTTGACTGAAAACATTGTGCCATTATTCTCTTCTTCATTATATGAGAGTCTAAAATTTCCGTGTGCCAGACAATACATAAACAGTTGGTGATATTAAGCTGACTTTAGAAAAAAAAAATCCCTTGGCCTCAAAGAGGTATTATTTGACTTCAAAAGTTACAGTATGTCTCTCCTCAGCATATGTTACATCTGGGTTTTCAGAAATATATATATTTCACATATTTGTTCACATAAAATTTGAGAAAGGAAGAATTTGCTATAAAAGAATATGTTGTCTTTTTGTGGTTTTATAAGGAGAAATTACCTAAGGGCAGAAAGTATAAGTAGGGCATTACAATGACAAATATTCTCTAGGGCACAGGGAGTATAAAAATGCCAGTATTACATGCTGACATTTGTATTTTGAACTCTCACCTTAGCATTTCTTACTTATTGGAGATAAGCCTAAGTAACTTTTGCCCCCTCAGCTCACCTACAAGCTTAGGGCAAGAAAAAAAAAATCCGAAAACAAAATCCTTCCTTCTTGTTCAAATATGAACTTCTTCGATGAGCAGGTTCAGTCCCAGATATATTAGCATTTGCCTGGTTGTACTTTACTGAAGTAAACCCACCATTTGAAAATCAAGTTAGAAGCTGATGACTTCTTTAACAAATGCATCTATTTGTGTTTCATTTAGGTATTTTTAAATAGCAACCTTTTCTAGTATATTAAATTGTGATTGGAGATTATATAAATGTACATATATATCTGAAAACATGACAGGTATACAAAGCAAAGTTTACCTGGAAACTCTAAATGTCTTTCCATTCCATACTTCTCCTCCCCACAACTGTATCTAATTTGAGATCCAGTTGCTTTCAAAGAATCACAATTTCCATCAAAAAACAACCCATTTGGCTGCACTCTCATAATCATGATTCAAATGAGTTAGCTGCACATAGCAGCTCTCTGGCCCTTTTGTCCTTCGAATCAGGGCTCCTGCCTTCTCCAGGTCACAGATCCCTTAGAGATGCTATTATATAATGAAATAAACTTACTGTTTTCTTTAACACTTTGAGAGCATAAGGCTTCTGGGTCCCCTTCTGTTTGCATCTGTATACAATGGATGTAGCACCCCTTGAGGGGGAAAAAGACAAAAAGAAAATGTTATGCTTTGGACAAGAAATTAAGGGGAAAGCTTGAAAATAAGTATGTCTTACATTTACCCTCATAACTGACAAGTGTTTATAAGTTCTATTATAGGGCTGGCCCAACTGTTGAGAGGATTTTTTTCTCATAACTAAAGATAGTGTGCTCAGATTTTCCTGTCTGCTCTTCTTCTCCTAGCTCAACGCTATACAAGTAACCTGCCTAAGGCTGTTGCCTTCAGTCATCTCTGGAGAAGAGTAAGCCTTATGGCTTCAGGGAGAGGGTTTAATTTCAACACTAGGCTGTAAGGGTCAGGAAAGTCTCCATTACTTGGCAAGGGTGCTGGGAACCCTTGAGAATTTACACCACTTCATTTGATTCCCTGGCATTCTCCCAGAGCCAATATTATTCCAATAGAGAGATACCGGTTCCTTCATCTTGGTGAATACTGCTACCACTTACTCACACGTGCCTAACAAAAATGATTACATGAAATGTCCAGGAGAAAATCCTATTAAAATGGTCAAAGATATACAGAGAAAAAGTAAATTTATCACTCTATAAAAAACTTGGAGAAGTAGAGAAAGTTTTTTACTTGTAATGCAGAATGGTAAGAAGAAACTCAATAACTATCTTTATGTATGTGATACATGTGTGAAGTTACTAAAAAGAGAACATTAAAAAGCAGGACATTGTGGTCCTGATGCTTCCTCTCCAGTCATGAGAGCAAGAGAACAAGACAGAGATAAAAAGAGACAGAGCAGGCTTAAGTACAACCTTAGAGAACTTCAGATAAGTCTTAAAATAAGATCAGTTGAAGTAAATCTGTCATACTTTAAAGATTAGGCCAAAGGACCTCTCATGATACATTCAGTCCAGTGGTTCTGAAATTCTAAGAAAGAACAAAAGAAATATACAAATCAAGCATATTCCAAGCTACCCACAAACATCAAATTTTTAATAGACCCAGCAAGAGTCAGGAACTGGTGGTGTAAATGCTAATAGGTAAGAACAATTTCAACACATTTTTTTAAAACTGTGGTAAGATATAACATATACACAAAGAAATAAAGAGTTGCAACGGAATAAATGGAGGTAAATATAAAATGCTATTTTCTTTATTTTTAATTGCTCTAAATTATATAAAGCAGAAATATTAATTCACTGTTTATGGCATATGTAAAAGTAAAATGTATGACAAAAATAGCACAAAGAATGGGAGAATTTGAGATAATACTGTTAAGTCCTTATATTACATGTTAAGTCCTTAAATTACATGTTAAGTAGTATGATATTATTTAAAAGTAGACTCTGATTAATTAAAGATGTATATTGTGTAACCTAGGGCAATGAATAAAATAATTTTTAAAAGAAAAAAATCAATAATGAAGCTAAAATGGAATAATCAGAAATGAAATGCTGGGGAACAAAACAAAATAAGAGATTAAAAAATAAAACAACTAACAATATGGTGTATTTTAATCCAATCATATAAAAATTACATTAAATGTAAATTTTATAAGCATATCCATTCAAAATAAAGATCATCAGTCACATGCTACAACAGACTCCATTTAATCTTCAGTCTCAATCTGTAGCAATGACCTAAACAAATAATTCCATGTTGTTTTAAGAAAATTTTGTTTATGCTGAAAATCTACCACACTAGGGTACCCTCCAAATTTTTTGTCATATGTAAACTCGTTCAGCCAATGACTTGTTTCTAATAAATGACTCATTACTTCAGGTTCAAAAAAATAAAGATCATCAGATTAGATTGAAAAAATCAAGACCAAACAATACACAATATACAATTAACCAATTTTAAATATAAAGGGTAAATAGGTTAAAAATAAAATGATAGACGAGAGATACTATGAAAACACTAGACAAAAGAAAGCAGGAGTAGCTATATTAATATCATGTCAACCAGACTTCAAAATAAGGATAAAGATGAACATGACTTAATTATTATGAGGTCTATTCCACAAAATGACATAACAAATGTAAATGTGTATGCACCTAACAACAGTGCTTCAAAATACATGAAGCAAAAACTGATAAAACTGAACAGAGAAACAGACAAATCCATAAATACAGCTGGAGACATCAACACACCCTCTCAGCAGTTAATAGAGAAAGCAGAAAAATTACCACTGAGGATATGGAGGACATGAACAACATTATCAACTAAACTAAGTTAAATGACATTTAGAAAACACTACACAAAAACAGCAGAATACACTTTCTCTTTGAAGTTAAAAGATTCATAAACTTGATTTCCTGACTTAGTATAATGCTACAGTAATCAAGAGAGTAGTATTGAAGGAAGAATAAACATGTAGACAAATGGAATGGAAAAAAGAATCCAGAAATAGTTGTACACATATATGGCTAATTGGTTTCTGACAAAGGTAAATAAATAGGCAATTGGTGGAGAAAGGACAGTTTCACCAAGTATAAATAGTGCTGGAACAACTGGATACACATATGCAAAAAACAAAAGTAAAAACAAAAAGCCTTTATCCGAGCTCACACTCTATGAAAAAATTACTCAAAATGGATCATAAGTATAAATGTAAAACCTATAACTCTAAAAGTTAAAAAAAGAAGAAAATTTTGTGACCTTTAGTTAGGCAATGATTTCTTACATACACAGCCCAAAGCACAATAATTCAAAGAACAAAAAATAAATTGGACTTCATTTAAATTAAAAATGTCTGCTTTATGAAAGACACAGACAAGGAGAAAGTTTTTATAATCACATATCTGATAAAGGACTTGTATCTAGAATTACAAACAAACTCAAAGCCCAATAATAAGAAAGTAATGCATTTTAAAGATGGGGCAAAGATTTGAATATATATTTCACCAAAGAAAATATATGGATGGCAAAAAGCACAAAGAAAGATGCCCAACATCATTAGTCATTAGGGAAATGCAAATTAAAACCACAATGAATCACTGTAGAAATCAAAGAGGAAATCAAAAAATACCTAGAAACAAATGACAATGAAAACACAATGACCCAAAACCTATGGGATGCAGCAAAAGCAGTTCTAAGAGGGAAGTTTATAGCAATACAATCCTACATCAAGAAGCAAGAAATATCTTTTTTTTTTTTGTAAAGGGTTTTTTTGTAATTATGTGTAACACAGACAAAGTTATTTAAGTCAATAAATTTTTAAGGAATTTCACACGTTCTGATTCTTTCCACTGCCAATCACCTTAGTTCCTCCAAACTCATAATCTTCAAGATAAAATAGCCCTTTCAAAAAGAAGTTATCATGTGAGTCAGCCCACAATTCTTTTAGTTAGGCTTCTTTGATCTCCAATGAAACATGGACACACTTCAAAATTCCCCACCTGTAATCTTTGGGATCCAATTTCCTCAAGTGATTTACTTTAGGACCATGTTTAGGGTCAGGAGATGGATCTGCCTGGTTCTGAATTTGACACCCTCTAAAAATGTATTAGGTTCAAATCATATTCACTCCTAAGCCATCACACCCTAGAACAGTACAGATCATTGGGATATGCCAATACCTAAGATAAAAAGTTTGTTAGGTTTTTCATAGTTTACTTGGCAGCTCTGTCTTGTAGTTCTTTCCCACAGATCTAACAGGTAGTTCCATGAGTAAAGGAAACCACACAGTTAATCTATGAGGCGTTTCCAACGATGTAGGTTTACAGAAAAAGCCCCATCGGGATAGACCTCAACAAGAAATATCTTAAATAAACAACTTAACCTTACACCTAGAGCAATTAGAAAAAGAAGAACAAAAAAACCCCAAAGTTAGCAGAAGGAAAAAAATCATAAAGATCAGATGAGAAATAAATGAAAGAGAAATGAAGAAAACAATAGCAAAGATCAATAAAACTAAAAGCTGGTTCTTTGAGAAGATAAGCAAAATTGATAAACCATTAGCCAGACTCATCAATAAAAAAAGGGAGAAGACTCAAATCAATAGAATTAGAAATGAAAAAGGAGAAGTAACAACTGACACTGCAGAAATACAAAGGAGATTACTACAAGCAACTATATGCCCATAAAATGGACAACCTGGAAGAAATGGACAAATTCTTAGAAAAGCACAACCTTCCGAGATGGAACCAGGAAGAAACATAAAATATAAACAGACCAATCAAAAGCACTGAAATTGAGAATGTGATTAAAAATCTTCCAACAAACAAAAGCCCAAGACCAGATGGCTTCACAGGCGAATTCTACCAAAGAGCTACACCTAACCTTCTCAAAAATCTTCCAAAATATAGAAGAGGGAGGAACACTCCCAAACTCATTCTACAATGCCACCATCACCCTGATACCAAAACCAGACTAAGATGTCACAAAGAAAGAAAACTACAGGCCAATATCACTGATGAACATAAATGCAAAAATCCTCAACAAAATACTAGCAAACAGAATCCAACAGCACATTAAAGGATCATACGCCATGATCAAGTGGGGTTTATCCCCGGAATGTAAGGATTCTTCAATATACACAAATCAATCAATGTGATACACCATATTAACAAACTGACGGATAAAAACCATATGATAATCTCAATAGATGCAGAAAAAGCTTTCGACAAAAGTCAACACCCATTTATAATAAAAACCCTCCAGAAAGCAGGCACTCAGGGAACTTATCTCAGCATAATAAAGGCCATATATGACAAAGCAAAGCCAACATCATTCTCAGTGGTGAAAAACTGAAACCATTTCCACTAAGTTCAGGAACAAGACAAGGTTGCTCACTCTCACCACTATTATTCAACATAGTTTGGGAAGTTTTAGCCACAGCAATCAGAGAAGAAAAAGAAATAAAAGGAATCCAAATCAGAAAAGATGAAGTAAAACTGTCACTGTTTGCAGATGACATGATACTCTACGTAAAGAATCCTAAAGATGCAACCAGAAAACTTTAGCTAATCAATGAATCTGACAAAGTAGCAGGATACAAAATTAATGTACAGAAATCTCT